GTGTATTTGTTGCTAACAGTAAAGTTGTCTATAAGACCTCCATGTATGGATTTACAGTATTCCAAATTTTGCATTTAATAATGTTTTGACTCCAGGTCGATGACAATGGATATATTTTTAAAATTACTTTAGGGACTACATGTCTCCCTGCTCGAATATTAGCACGTGGTACTTGTCACTTGTCACTTGTCACAGTAGAAGTGTTTCATTATTATGCACGACTCTTCTACTTTTGAGTCCGCAGTCAAAATTCTTGTTCTACTGTGTAATATACAGTAGATGGTCCAATAATATCCTTGAAGGTGTCAATAATATTTTTAATGCAACTTTATCTTCTGGTGTTATCAGTATTAGGTAAAACAACTCGAAAATTAAATAGATTCATACCTTTCGGTGAAAATCGTTCTTCTAAAAAGGAATAAATATTTTTCGCAAGAGTGAACAGGTTGGTTTTGATGACAGGTTTGATGAGAAACTATATATTTTAATTATAATACATATTCAAGTTACAAACAACCCATTCGTAAACAAAATTGAAGATACGAAATAATATATTGAATGAGCAATAATATGTTTTCGGTAATTCTATCTCATAGATAATCGAACAGTAAAACACATTAAGATAGGACGTCTGAGGTGGGTAGGCCATGTAATGCGGATGGAGCAAACCGACCCAGCTAGAAAAACGCTCCTTGATAGACCTATTGGTCAAAGAAGAAGAGGAAGACCCAGAACAAGATTCCTAGATAACATAGACCAAGATATGAGAAATATGGAAATACGTACTTGGCGGAGAAAGGCGATGGATAGGGACGACTGGAAGAGAATTCTTGGGGAGGATAGGACCGACACAGGGTTGTAAAGCCAAAATGATGATGATGAGATAATCGAACGATTCTCTGGAACTCAAATATCGAATTGACAAAATTTGGAGGAATTGGGATATTTTAGCTCACGACGTCACTAAAACGGTTCAAGATTCTTCTCAGATGTATCAGGTTTGATAAATAAAAATGACCGTAAGTAGAGAAAAAAGTTAGATAAACTAGCAGCAATTCGAACAGCCTCTTGTTCTTTTAGACGATCTATATCCAGCAAGCCAAACAAATATAGCTTTAAAATTTTTCCTTTGAGCAACACCAAGATGTTCTATACTCCAAATTTTGAAGTTTACGTTCAAAACGCTTTTTTTACGCTTCTGGCGTCAACCAGAAGGAACGTTTTTTTGTAGATACCCGTATATACCCGTAGTGGAAAAGCTATTGGAAAATTATAGACTAAGTATTTTAGAAACTCTACGTAAACATAAAAGAGAATTGTCTCGTTTATTTGTACAAGGAAATCGCCTAAAAGGTCAAGTATTTTTACTTTAAGAAAAAAATGTAAGTTTGTTTCTTATTGTATATGTATTGTGTATTGTATATGTATAAAAAAGAAGACAGTTGTGCTTCTGGCTTTAAGTATGCATTTTGACGACACAATAGATTCCAAAACCAGAGATTCCGACAAACCTGAAATATTGACAACATACAGATTGAACGAAATAAATTCGGACCATAGGAATATAATGTATTTCGGCTCAATTCTGCTGTAGGTGGTTAGCCAACAAAATATTGTCAAATAATTATATTATAAAAAATCCCATACTTCAGCGTGCTGCAGGATTCTGAACTCATAAAAATTGAAAGCTACACATAAATCTACGATTTTGATATGCTGTCAAACCAGTTATAGTCCAGGATATGTAGCATTTCACCTCGCAATTTTTTCGTGCGGCGTGGATTGATTTGAAATTTAACAGAAGGTAGATAATAGCCTAAGGATCAAAATCTATATTGAACCAAAGTGCGCCAAAGCCTAGGGGGTGGTTGCCACCCCATCTCCAGGGTGAATTTTTTTTTACGTTTTAACTACAGGTTTCGATTAGAAAAGTGATTCTAAACAAAAAATGTTATACATTTTTTTTATAAAATGATATTTTTCAAGTTATTCGCGATTGAAAGTAACAACTTTTAGACGAAAAAATCCACGTTTTTAATCGATTTTTCGCGAATAACTCGAAAATGGTGCATTTTATCAAAAAAATTGTAGAGGACAAATTTGTAGCTTTTAAAAAGACAAATACAATTACACATACAATATCAATGTTCAGCAGTTTTTTTCAAATGCCAAATTTGAAAGATTTAAAGTCAAATATCGGGAAAATGATGCATTTTTGGAAGAAAATTCACAAAACCTTTTTTAAAGAGCATAAATAGACCTATCATAAAAAATAAGCTCAATACCTCATTTTTTACGAAAAAATCGAGGAAAACAACACCCTAACCACCCCCATAATTAAAATCGATCTTTACCCTTCTGCAATTCCCTTTGTAGATGTATTGTTAATACGTCCAAGCAGTTTTACCCATTTAAAATGCTTAGTTGTAGAAGAAGTACAGCTTAAAGCGAGAAACGATTTACAATTTCATATTTTTTACCTTTCTTTTTTTAAATATGCCCGAAAATACTGAATATATGAAAAAGTAACCCTTGTTAGAGAAAATAAAAATTACCAAATTGTAGCTTTCTTAATGACTAAAATTATCCTTTATTTAGATTTGTTGTACAATGAATATTTGGCGAGATATAGCCGTTTAAAGCATCGATTTGCGATCAAGCACCATCTTTTTCGAGCCCTTTAAACTCACCCCATTTAAAAACCAAGGGTTCCAAAAAGATTTAATTCACAGATCCTTGTAGCTATTAAAAACCTCTACAAATCGTTTTTGAAGAAACACTCTATCATTAAAAATTAAAGGAAATACGTTAAAAAAACCAGTTAATTTTTTTCCGGATAATTCCATTAGTATAGTACAGTACATTTCGGAGCATAATAATCTACAAAACCGGTATATTAGCTAGTGGGGCGTTATACATTCGAAATTTTAAGCGTTCTTATTTTGAAATCCCATACAACAGAATAAAACATCTGCTCATATGTCTATGGCTTGGCAATGAAAATATCAGAGCAACAGATTGGGGATGGTATTCCAAAGATGGTTTGTTATTACCCGTACGCATGAACAAACAACCTGCACCTGATAAATTTTTGAAAATTATTTTTTGCCAATGCAAAAAAGTATGCGGCGTTTCATATGGGTGCAGAAAAGTTGGTTTATACTGTAACTCTACTTGTTCTGGGTGCTCAGGTGAAGGGTGCAATAACAGTCCACCAATAATTGAAGAAGATGAGGATGACATAGATCACGATGAAGATGTAATTGATGACGAATAAAATTAATATTATAATTGTTTTACCTATAAATGTAAATATTTTCAACTATTTATGTAAATGTATAAGAATATATGGTGCCTTTTTATGTTGATAATTTTTTTTGTATTTAATTCTACTTTTTTCAATTTATATCTTATAAATTAGTTTATAAAAACTGCAATGTTGTAAAGGGTGATTTTCAACAGTTGAAAAGTTGCAAAATTTTGGCAAAAAATTGTTTTCGCCTATAGCACTCATAACAATTGATTTTTAAGGGTTGAAAATGTATGAATTTGTATTTTAAAGTATAAAAAACTCACTATTTAACTAATCCAAACCAAATTTCACTCATCTTAAGATTTGTAATATTATTTTACAATTTTTGAAAATTAGGGGTAGTTTTCACCCCTAAGAACAATCAGGGTTCATCGGCATGACATAAACTATAAAGCAGCTGGTGAATTGAGCTTAAATCCAAATTTTTATGCAAATCGTTCCAAGGTGAAATCATTTTCTTCGCATTACTAATTTTTTTATAATAATCTCTAATAAGGGTTGCTTTTTAAGGGTTGAAATATGATGGAACTTTATTCAAAAGCACGAAACTATCATTATTTAAATAATTCAAACCAAATTTTACCCATATTCAGGTTTAATATGTTATTTTATTATTTTTGACAATTAGGGGTAGTTTTCACCCCTAAAACCCTTCAGCGCACTTCGGTTCGATATAGATTTTGATCCTTGGGCTATTACCTACCTTCTGCTAAAATTTCAACTCAATACATGCAGGACGAAAAAATTGCGAGGTTTTAACTTTTTTCGAGCTTCATTTCCTGAACTATTATCGCATCCTTAGACAAACCCGTCTTACGCAAACAAATTTGTTGCGAGACAGATAGTTGAACGATATTTTATACAATGTCTATACCCAGGTATGGATTTATTTTTGTCCAAGTTTTATATTGGTCCACTATTTCAAATGCAGTTCAAACAGACATGTATTAAATTGTATGTTCCGTTTTAATTTGGTTCAATCTGTATAATCAGACCAAAGGCGGCGTCGATGTTGTAGATAAGTTGTCTGCAACATATAGTTGAGCAAGAACTATAAGAAGGTGGCCAATGTTTATGCTTGTCGGAATGTTGCTGAAATTAACAGTCAAGTCGTTTAGTATGCATAAAGAATTTTAATAAATTATAAAGAAAGTAGTATAGCAACCAATAGAAAAGTACAAATAATCCTTAATGTTATGAATGCCAACTTCGAGAGAAGTTAGTTTGGAGTTCAATTTATTTTTGGCAATTTATATTGCAAACATGGAAATTTTGTTAAAAAATAAGAAAAAACGAAGAGTTTTTTATTATTTACCGATACCCGAAAACATGTAACAAGTATATGAAAAATACAAATACAAATGTAATGTTTTGGTGATTTTATGAATGACTTTTACTTATATTTCGAATTTCTGATCTTTTGTTTAGATTATTCTTACTCTTGCTAATACACACCATTTTTAAAAAGGTCTTTTTGACTTGATTATCTTTATTACAGAAAATTTTAATGTTATAGAAATTCATAATATGATCTTTGTCAATTACATGCTCTGTCAAAGCACAAGATTTATTCTACAATCACTCTTGTGGGAAAGAATACGATTTATTTTATTAATATTATTATTTGTTATATAGTGCAGGGTACATCTAATTATAAATAAAACGTAAAAGATTAAGACCGTGTTTTGTAATTGTTATTAAACTTTTAATTTATTCAATTATCAAGCTGTATGTTACAATTGGTTACGATTTCCACCTAAGTAGATGGCGTCCTATGAGTCCTAGAGCTTTAGCAGTAAAATTTATATATGCTTTTATACGGTAATATAACTTATCCTGGGCTTCAATGTCATCAGAAACTGCTTTACATTTGATGAAAATCTCAAGAAGCATATTTGTTATTACCTGCAAAAACCCAGTATTATTATAAACGCTTTTCATTATACAAATATAAAATCATATATAAAAATTTTTAAAAACCATTATACTATGCAGCATTGCAGCGCTTTAGCAGTCTTAATAGCGTATAGAGAAAAGCAGTTAGTAAGATACTTTAGTAATCAGTTGTCGCAATATTTGAAGACACTAGTGCAAGGTCTAATCTAACATTTCTACCCTTTTCGGGTTAATTTGCTAATAGTACATTTTTAACCTGTTTTTTTCTTATATCTAAATATTTGGCGCTATTTTCTAGTAGTTTCAGGTTTGGCAAAATATGTTAAAGAAATATATATTTATATACATAGCTGTTGTGTTTTCAAAAATAACTAAGTTTAAGAGCTTTTCGAGTAGCAGCGAGATTTTGAGTTTTTTACTTCTCCTTCCGTCAAGGATAATCAAATTTAAAAGAAATATTTTGGATAAAATATTAAATATAACGATTCTTCACCTTCACTAGTATCAAGTGAAATATTTAATTTGTATGAAAAATTTTAAATCAGTACATCAACTTTTGGACGTTTAGCAGGCGTAATAACTACCTCCTGACTTGAATTAATATAAATTATATTTGTGTATAATAAGACGATCTCTTTAAACATTAAGCCTCAAACAAATTAACAAAATTAAATAAAACTATGTTTTATAGACCTGACAAAGGCTTTCGATCGTATCCGAGTCGAAGGCGTCTTACACCTACTGTATAAAAGAAACATACCAATCAATATTATACAAACCATCGGAAACATCTACTTACATAGTCGAATTCAAGCAAATATAAATTGAAAACTAACACAGTATAGACCAGTATCGGTCAGGCAGGGTGACTCGCTAAGCCCACTTCTCTTTAATATGATAATGGACGACATAATACAAGCAGTACGTAAGGTCATGGTCACAGAATAGGGAACAAAGAAATCCAAATATTATGATACGCAGACGACGCCGCATTAATCGCCGAGACAGAAGACGAGCTTCAAAGATTAACACACATTTTTAATACAACAGCCAAAAAATACAATATGATCATATCAGCATACCGTGGATCAGAATGTGGATCCCATCATTTAGTTATGGCCAACGTGATATTTAACTATCGCAAAAACAATAACACTCAGATACAGAATATAGAAAAAGGACAAGAAGTAATATCCCCTAACTATAACCTAGAAAGCATAAAAGAAGATTTAACGAAATTTCTTTACAAATTACGACTGACCACAAAACTACAAAATGTGGATCAAGAAAATGTATCAGCGGAAAAATTATACCAGCAACTTAAAAAATGCATTCATGAGGCTGCAAGTGAAGCTTTGGGTTATAAAGACAAATATAAATAAAAAAATCAAGAATGGTGGTCGGAGGATATGCAAACGTTAGTCAACAAGAGGAAAACTGCTTATCAGAAATGGATGTCAACGAGAAATAAGGAAGATTACAAGATATCAAAAATTAAATCGAGATGTAAAAAGAGAAGTAGTGAAAAGTAAAAATGAGATGTGGGATCGAAGATGTGCAGAGGTGGATAGATATATGGGTGGAACAAGTGTTGGGCAAGCTTGAAAGGTGATAAAGTCTCTCCAGAGAGAAGGAAAGGAAAAATCTAACTTACAGTTAAGAGATCTGAAACAGTGGAAACACCATTATGAGGTCTTACTGACAGACGATAGATGTAAATTCCAAGAGATCTAAATGGAAGAAGTATCCGAATATACACAAATAATTGAAATAACAACCGGAGAGTTAAACGATGCCCTCAAAAGATCGAAAAATGATAAAGCAGCAGGACCTGAAGACATTCCAATTGAGTTGGTAAAGTATGGACCAAAAATTTACATGAGATGTTGGTTCAACTATTTAACAAATGCTTAAAAGGACAAAATATCCCTGACGATTGGAATATTGGATACATCAGCTCAATACTCAAGAAAGGGGATAAACGCAAATGCTCTAGTTATAGGGAAATAACTGTTAGCAGCTCAGTGGGGAGGTTGTACGGTCGAATAATAGAAGAAAGAATAGAATCAGAATACAAAGACATAGAAGAACATAATGGATTTCGTACAGCAAGATCGTGCACTGATGGCATATTCATTCTGCAGCAGGTAATCGAAAAACGGAAGGCAAGGAATCTATCTACCTACCTACTGTGTGTAAATTTAGAGAAGGCATATGATACGGTACCTTTGAAAAAACTGTTTCAAACTTGGACGAAAATAGGTCTCAGTAGAGAGTATGTGAATGCTATCGCAAATATATACAAAAATGCGAGAAGTGTCGTTAAAGAAGGAAACTTTATATCTGAATCATTTCCAATAACAAACGGGCTTAAACAATGATATTGTTTATCCTAGACTTTATTTAAAATATATATTTAATCATCGCTAGAGCAGTGGAGGAGACAGGTATCCGGAATGGGAATAGTCCTAGCGAATGATGAGGAAGACATGGACTACATGTTTAGAAAACTAAAGAAAGAATATGAAAACTGGGGTCTCAATATGAATATGTCAAAGACAGAGTATCTTATAATAGGGGATGACGAAGAAGACTGTTTGTTCAAAACAGTACAGTACTGTTTTGAACATATTATGTTCAACAACTTGTTTAAATACTTTCTACTCTAAATCTTTGTCTCCTGATGAAGCTGACAAAAATCAGCGAAATATAGAGGATTAAAAGAAAAAAAGAGTTTTTTTTTAATAAGAACAGACCGCTTACCCGATATTCCAACATAATAAATTGTTATTTACGTTTCGGTCGATAATCTTACTAGTTTTGCTATAAATATATATATATATATATATATATATATATATATATATATATATATATATATATATATAATATCAGCAGAAAAAACCAGATGTAGGACAACATATAAATACTCACTACGATATAAAATCGAAATTGGTGGGAAAATAATAAAGAAGGAAGCAAGGTTTAGATATCTGGGAATAGATATAACTAATTACGGAGAAATAGGGTGTACATATGTGGGAAATTAGGAGTATAATTTCAGTGTATGTGGACTGTATTATATAGGACTGGTTCAAATAAATTAGGATATGTAGTAAAGGGTATACAGACAATAGTAAATTAAGTTTATACAAAGTCTTACCAATAGTTCTGCTCCACACTCTCGCGGTTTTCCCGGCTTTCACTCGTGGTTTTTCTTCATCCGCAAAATCTGTCCGAGCACCGGTTTTTGAACACGTGTTTCGCACTATATATACAGCACACTTTGCGTCTGTACACGATTTAAAATAGTACACGCGGTATTTTTCGCATAACTAAAGCGGAAGAGAGATAATTAGATAAAACAGTCAAGAGAGATGCTGTTCTTCTTGATTAGCGAAGAGAGAGAGAGAGAGAGAGAGAGAGGGAGGACTGTCCTCAACGACAGATACCTGTACCAAACGATAGGTAACAGGAAAGAGAGAATGGCTCTCCCTATCGGTAGCCGACAATCAAGAGGACACAACTGGCCCTAGCGGTAGTCAAATCAAGAGCGAGCACGACTGGCCCTAGAGGCAGTCAAATCAAGAGAGAGTCTTTCTTCTTTGCTATCTTAAAACTGTCTGTATTCGTAATGGAGTGGTGTTAAAATGTGAGTAGAAAGGGTTGTCAAGGGTTGGACTAAGATAATAATTGTAAAATTGTGATAGAAGGATAGTTAATAATACAGCAAAAAAATGACATGGTTTTTCGCATGTGAAAAAATTTAACAGAAATGTTAGAGAAGAAGTACGACAATAAAGCTTAAAAGCAAGTAAAGCGGCGGGATCTCGTAATGACACAATCTGGAAGAACAAACACCTAAGATGAGACACAAAAACAAGCATTTATACAGCAGAAATTTGACTTATATTAACATACACAGCGGAGAGAAGATCTGGCACATCTAAAACGACACGACTACTAGAAACGACAGAGATGAAAATACTCCGATGAATATCAGGGAAAAGTCTGTTGGATAGGGAGAGAAGCGAAAACATAAGAAGAGCAGGCAATTTAAAAGACATAAATGGATGGGTGACAAAGCGGAAACAGTAGTGGACCGAACACATTAGTAGAATGGCAGAGGATAGGATAGTACGAATAGCACGAGATAAGTCACCAAATGGACGAAGAAGTGTTGACAGACCAAGAAAAAGATGGTAAGATAATTTAAACAATTTAGGTGGTTAATATTGAAGAAGAAGTAGGCTTTAAAGCCCACATAAAAGAACAAAAATGAAGAAAAAGAATAACACTAATAAAAAGATATGGAAAATAATATTGATAAAACTAAAATTTAGAATCTAAAATCTAAATCTTTACATCAGATACCGTTCTTAAAGTTGTTTAATTGACATCAATTTGGTGCTCATGTCAAAATGTTTAAAATTTTTCAATTGTCTTTAATTTCCAATAATATAAGGGAATTAAATAATAAAATACATATCAGTTACGAAAAGCTCATCATTGAGGGGGATGGATTACGCATTGAATGATCTGATTGACTAGCTTATAAGTTTAAAACTACGTTGGAGAAATATATACTCACCGATTGAACAATTGAGTTGCTGATTTTTCCATAAATCCATTCAAGAGTGGTGGAAATACTACCAGGTAATTTCCAGAATTTTAGCCAAGAAGGTATTATGGAACGTAATTGAGTTCTAAAAATTTCGTTTTTAACGTTATTAATAAATAATGTGCGTATAAAGTCCCCTTTGCATATTAAGTAAACCATTGGTGTAGGTACTTAATAACATAATTAAAGAGGTAAATACAGTCTAAAATTTAAAATTTATTTTACATAAATAAAGTATTGAACTGAATTTAAAAATTTTCTATATATCAAATTTCTCTCTGGCACATTATCAGAACTTCGGCATTCCATAATGTATTTGGCGTATTCTTGTCGATATTTTGGGACGCTATTATTGTTAGTATCTTCACTTTTACCAGAAAATAATCCATGTCTTCATCTCCTTCTCTTAGGCTTCTTACGTCTAAATAGTTATTATCCCTCCTGGAATCTACAAGAATTTGAAGATCAAGGTTTCTTGGTGTATTCTCTTATGTTCCAACAATGTTGATTTTATTGGTATGATTTTGGAAAAAAAACTTGTTTTTAACACTTTCATATAATTGATGGATTCGATCGTTACTTGATGGAAATTCATTTTATGTAACAATAAAACACTGAAAACTTTGTTTTCAAACTTCCACAAAATTTATTTTAAATATTATCACTACAGCTGTTTCGGCTGATTGCCTTTCTCAAGTGATCTATTTTGGCTTGGGTTTACAAATTTATAGTCTCTAATGAAATAGGTTGAGGAGGGGAGAACTGTTTGTCTCAAGTGGGTCATTCAGAATTATATCTGTGTTTTTTAATTTGCTGATTTCCATAGATTCTAACAAAGATAGCTTAAGGCCTTTATTTTGAATGTGAAGAATTTTAAATTTGTCATTAAAAGAATGATTATGATCTAGAAGGTGAAGTGCGTATGTCGAATCTGTTTTTCTATTCTTGAAAGCCCGTTTATGTTCTGCTATTCGTTTATAAAAGTTTCTACCAGTTTGACCGATGTAAGTTTTTGGGCAGTCGCTACATTGAAGTTTGTACACACCACTATTTAAGTGTTTTTTATTTTGGCTCTTGTTATTTTTAATATATTTGCCTAGGTTGTTATTTGTTCAGAAAGCTGGTGTTATTCCTTTCTTTTTTATGTGTTTGGCAATTTTTGTTGTTATTTTGCCTGTATATGTAATCGAGCAGAAGGTACTGGGTTTTTTCTCTGGTGGTGGAAATACTAATTTTAGGGCTTTCTTGTGTAGTTTTTGATTTAACATTTTATTAATTGTTTGTTCGTTGTATCCGTTGTTTACTGTTATCTGCTTAATTATATTAAATTCTGTCTCAAAGTTGTATTTTGACATCGGAATTTCTGTTAATCTATGTAACATACTATGATAAGCTGCCAGTTTATGTTGTGTTGGATGGGATGACAAATTGTGTATAGTCGTGTCAGTATGGGTAGGTTTATGAAATATGGAGAAGTCATGTTTGTTTTGAAGTCTGCTAATTTTTAAATCTAAAAAATTTATGGATTGATTTTGTTCTGTTTCTATTGTAAATTCAATATAACTATGAAGTGAATTAATATATGATAAAAATTGGTCGAGTTGCCTGTTAGTTCCTGTGAAACATACCAGTACGTCGTCTACGTATCTCCACCAATATAAAAACTGTTTGAATACGGGATGTTTTGAAATCTTTGTCTCTAGATGATCCATACAAATATCTGATAGCAATGGGCTTAGAGGATTACCCATTATAAGTCCTGCACTGTTATTTGTATAAATTTTATTATTAAATTCAAAGTAGTCCTGGTTTATGCAAACTTCAAGAAGATGTAAAATTTCAGATGTAATTATTGGATTTGTACTATTTTGGTCTAAAAGGTTTTTTACTAGAATCAAAATCCCTCCTACAGAAACTTTTTTTTCAAGCCTCCTAAGCTCATTGCTATTGGATATTTTTATGGGTCATCTAGAAACAAAGATTTCAAAACATCCCGTATTCAAACAGTTTTTGTATTGGTGAAGATACTTAGACGCTGTACTGATATGTTTTACAGGAACTAACAGACAACTTGACAAATTATTATCGTTTATGAATTCACTCCATAGTCATATTGAATTAACAATTGAAACAGAAGAGAATAAATCGACAAATTTTCTAGATTTAAAAATTATCAGATTTAAAAGCAAACCGAATTCGCCGTATTTTATAAACCTACCCATACTGACACGACTATACACAATTCATCATTCCAAACACAACATAAATTGGCAGTCTTCAATAGCATGTTATACAGATTAATAGAAATTCCCTCGCGAAAAAATAACTTTGCGATAAAATTGAACATCAATAATCAAATAGCAGTTAATAGTGGGTACAATGAATACACGATAAATAAAATTTTAAGTCAAAAACTACATAAGGAAACCTTGAAATTAGTATTTCGACCACCAGAGACAAAACCCAGTATCTTCTGCTTGATTACATATACAGGCAAGATATCAAGAAAAATATCCACCAAACACATAAAAAGGAAAGTAATAATACCAGCTTCTATAACAGAGAACCACTAAGGCAAATATATTAAGAACATCAAAAACAGAAAAAAAAAATGAATTACACAGAGGTGTATACATCGAGCAAAAAGATAAAAGAGGGAATGTAAAGGTAGTGGGGGCAAAAATATTGTTAGACAGGAAGTGCGATTTTTAGAGGCCACATTAAACAAGGAAAGAGAGTCTCTCTCCTTGTTTGACATCAAATTTAGTTGGGTTATGTTATTGTTTGTCCCAAATGTCACAGGAAATCTTATTTATATTGAAGTTTTTTAGCAATTGTGTCGCATTTTAGACTATTATCGTTAATAATTAATTAAAGCTTTCTCGTCTAAGACACATTCTGAAAAATATTATATAGCTACTGTTAATAAGTGTCGGAAAATTTAAATTTGACGCATTCGCATTTCCGGATACATCCGCCATCAGAGGCCACTTTTTTGGTCTCCTTTTTATAAGGATTAGATTCCCTCTTTTGTCTTTTTGCTCGATGGGTATATACCAGCTTAAATATGGCGACTGCCCAAAAACTTACATCGGTCAAACTGGTAGAACTTTTAGCAAACGTATAGCAGAACATAAAAGGGCTTTTAATAATAAAAAAAAACAGATTCTACGTGGACACTTCATCTTCTGGATCATAATCATTCTTTTAATGACGAATTTAAAATTCTTTACATTCAAAATCGAGGCCTTAAGCTATCTTTGTTAGATCTATGAAAATTGACAAATTAAAAAATACAGATATAATTCTTAATGACCAACTTGAAACAAACAATTCTCTCCTACTCAACTTATTCAGTTAAAGACTATAAAGTGTAAACACATTTTAAAAATAGATCACTTGAGAAAGACACTGCCGAAACAGCTGTAGTGATAATAATTTAAGATACATTTTGTGGAAGTGTTGAAAACAAGTTTTCCGTATTTTATTGTTAGTTCGAGTAACGGTCGAAACCATCATTATTCCATTAAAGCTACTGACATCATGTAGATGGATACCTATTGTTGGTCTGTATACTGCTATGTTTCCAATATTTGCATTGATATCTCTCAAGCTAATATGCATGTCCTCTTTTGGGAAAATTATTTGTCAGTTCCTCTAGTCTTTCAATGAAGTTGTATTTAACATTTTTTCAAATTTTACTTTTTCTTTTTCTGTATATGGGTAGCAATAAGGGAAAAACTATGCAGTTGTACTTTTAGTCTCATATAACAGTCTTTCGTCATCAGGTTTGAAGTTTATGACTCCACAAAGCTTTCCTTGACTATGAAGCCAGTGCCGAATTGGTGCTCCTGCTTACTTTCGCTGAAAAATATTACAGATTTATTAGTTTTTATTATGCATTCTCCAGTATGTAATATCTTGTAATATAATGTTGTGAGATAGCTAAGTATGTCCATGTTCCTGGATTTAAGTTCTTTTACCACCTAAGTTAGGGCTTCTGACCAATATATGCTTAGTACTTTTCAGATTCTTACATTTATTGTTATTTGTCGTCACTTTTATCGTCTTAAAAGATCTGTCCTTGTCCGAGGCACGTATTTCGTTTATATATCTTTTCTGTAATAATATATTCTCTGTAATATGGACTGACTTACCTACCTCACTTTCTAGATAGATGTATTACGTGACTGATCAAGAACACCTCGTCACAGAGTTTCTTTAATTTTCCGTTTTGATATTTGGTACATTACAGGTAAAGATTTTTAAATTCTAATATGGCAACTGGTATCGTTTCCATAAATATCCAAGTTTTAAGGAAAGTTTTTTCTGAACCTCTACTTTCAATCATTCTTTATTCCACCATGTGATATTTGAATCAGCGAGAAAAGAAAGCTTACATGTCATGAAAACTAACTTAAAAATTCAGATTTACAAACAGAATAAACTCCTGTACTTGTTGCCACTCTGTACGATAATGAGTGTTCGTGTGGTTTTCTCCTGTTATCTTCAGTATATGTTCTACGACGCCATCCGGCTACTGCCAATATTTCAATAAGGGACTGAAGATATGAGTCTTGAGCATTTTTGTTGTTTAGTTTATAAAGTTTTGTAAACATATTTAATCTAAATTCACGAGGAATTGCAAGAAATCATTTCTTCCTACATCTGCAATGTAATATAGTCTAATAAGAATTAAACATTAAACTAAATTTGGGGTTATAAAAACATATCTGCATGGTTCTCCGATAGTTTGGATTTTCTTTTATATTCAAGATACTTTTGTCCATATTGTTTTGCTTTTTTCTTAATAACAGCCTCTCGAGACTCTAAATGTCGCTTTCTTTTTACTTTTTATTTCGGAATTCTCATGTTGCACACCTTCCATAGTATAAATGACAAATTTATGTTTGGATGAATAGACATGTTTAGCCGCCTTTGTAGAAAAAGTTTAAGACATTTCCAGGACGTTATGTGGTTTTTCCGCAATACCATAATCACTAATACACATAAAGGCATCATTAGTACGAAAATATGTACGGTTTTTCTACAAAACGGCGCGGTGAGTTTTTGCTTCTTCTTACCGATTTATTTATACTCTCATCTGTATATAAATATGTCTGCAAAAGTAATCTGATTTTATGATTTCATTTATTTTCATGATTTTCTTGTCTTATATTGTTCTTATGATTCTTATGCATGTTTGTTATAGCAACATAACTTGAAAGCGTTTTAAGCATCGCATCGCATAATCTTTGATCCCTTTTCTCCTCAGTCCTAATCCCTTTCGGAATGTGGTGACACCATCAGGCCTTTACAGTGTTTCCAAGATTTTCCTCCATCCTTCCCTATCCTAGGCTATTTGTTTGGCTTCCTGTAACTCTTGGTTAATCTAAATTTTTACCCAGTGGCATGGAGATCTTCACCTAGGTCTCTTTCCTTCAACTCTAGCCTCGACTATCAGATTTTCCATCGTACCTGTTCTTCTAGTCTTCTTCTTCTTCGTCTACCCATTCACGTCCACATCTGAACATAAGCCTCTTCAAGTCTTTCTTTCCATTGTTTTTTATTGTACGCTACTTGTAGCCAATTTTTCCCGGAAGTCCTTTTCAGATCATCTGTCCATCTCATAGGAGGTCTGCCTCTGGGTCTTTTGTGTTGGTATGGTCTCCAGGTTAAAATTGATCTGTGCCATTTGTTTAGATCGCTCCTAGCTACATGTACAGCGTATTCCCATTTCAACTTTAATGATTTTTTCACCACATCGGTGACTTTGGTTTTCTGTCTTATCCACGTGTTTGTTTTCTTGTCCTTAAGTGATATACCTAGCATTGCTTTTTTCATTACGTGTTGATTGACTCTAACTATATTCATATTCTTTTTTGTGATTGTCCATGTTTGTGCCGCATAATTTAATATCCGAACAATGCATGCATCAAAAACTTTAGATCTAAGATGTAATTGAATTTGTTGATTTCTGAAAAGGGATCTTCTAGTTATGGTGTGTTCTTCTAGTTATGGTGGGTGTTCAAAATACTGCAAATATCTCTGTTGTATTTGTTTAAATAATCTATCCTTAACTTTAAGTTGTTCTAATGTCAATACGTTAGTGCGATGATCCATCCAGGATATTCTTAACATGCGGCGGTATACCCACGTTTCAAAATGTCTTGTTTATTTTTATCCACTTTCTTTAAGGTAGACGTTTCGGATGCATATATGGCTATGGGCAAAATGAGTGCCCTTACCAGCCTTAGTTTTGTGTGTATTGTTATGCTAGAATTTTTCCAAATCGTTGCCAGTTTTATCATAGTTGTTTTAGCAATAGTCAACTTTCTGTTTCTCTCTCTCACACCTTCCGTCATTTGTTATTAGGGATCCCAGATATATGAAACTATTTACTACTTCAAAGCCCCTAATTTCGTTAATGTGTTGAAGATTATTCCGAGCTCTGTCTACTGCCATGATCTTTGTCTTATTCCTATTTAGCTTTGGTCCATATGTTTTGCTTTTCCTTTCCAGATATCTCATTATGTCTTCTATTTCTTTTTGATTTGCCGCGATTATTAAAGTGTCGTCATCATATCTTAAAATACTAATTTTTTGACCTTGATATTCCAGCCTTCCATCCGTCTAGTATCTTTCGCTTTGATCTCTAGTTTCCGATTAATGTGATCCTCAAAAAGATACGATAGTCATAGTTTATATATTAGAATATTTTAAAGGGGAAATAATAAGTAATGATTGTTTATTAGCAAAGATTAAAGCAATAATCATAATAAAGATAAAATGTACATACTTATCAGAGTCATATGCCGCACCATCTTCAGGTTGCTCTTCTAGTGCACGTATAACTCTTTTTAAAGCGTCTCTCCCTTGTCTACAAAAAATCGTATAAAAAATTTTAAAATGCAGGAAAATAATATGAGTTGTGGGGAAAACAAGTAAATAATACGTTTTTATGCAGATGACACTGTTCTGACTTTAAATAACGGAAAAAAGTTATAGCGAATAATACATATTTATAATAAAAAGGCAACATCCAAATTACGAAATCATTAAAGATAATGTAAGTAAACAAGCAAATAAAACATCTCATAAGATATACAGGTGAAGGATAAAAAAATTTAAAATCCATGATTTAAAATAAATGAAGATATGATGAAGCATATGCTTTTAGTATTTACATACTGTACCGTTTTTAAATAAAACGAGCGATTCGAATTTATATAAATATATTTATTTATAACTTTACAGTTCGGTACTATCTTATCAACTAAACTTAACTCCTAATTTCGTTACATATATATACCAAAGTATTATGTTTGAGAATATTCGGGAGTAGTCCCACTTCTAATTCGTTATTTAACGGATGAAATTTTACAAGGAAACTTTTCGGTGCTTCAAGATGCGACCGTTAGGCGGGCCACGCTGAATGCATGTTCGTAACAATACTAACCAAAAATAATTAGGAGATAAAAACATGAAGTTTTCTAAATCATCGTATTTATTATAGACTTTTCATAGACACTGCATGTATTTTCCCCACAATAGAGATATAAACAATATAAACTAATAATAATAGATAGAAAAATATTGACAACAATGTCTGTTTAATAAATATAGGTGAATCTAAAATAGTTAAGAGAAGAAAATATCGTGTTATATTGATATAAACATTAAGAATATCTGAATATTAAATATACCGTCTATTCTTTTTGAACTATCTTCTGCGTAAACACATTTTGAAAGTACGGTAGTCTGAAATATTTCTCTTGCACTTACGTTTTGTAGTTTGTGTCAAAATAATTTTAGAATTTATATAGTATAGCTGATTTTTGCGTTAAACTCAAAAATTACAAATAGAAAATCGTTTGCCATATTGTAATAATGTTTTTAAAAGTAAAATATCGAAAATTATAAAACTGTAAAGGTTTTAATCTGTGATTGACGTTAGTATTAAAAGAAGTGAAGGAAAGCCTGAAATATTGAGTATTGTTGGAAGTTTTAAAGCACGTGAAGAATTTTCCAAAGCGTAGATTAAAAAAGCTGCAAAAAAAAAATAAAAGCATCTAGCCTAAATCAAATTACTGCTGAACCAAATCATACCACAGGAAATGCCGCTTTCGATTAACCTGAACTTCTTCTTCTTTAAGTCTCGTCTCTCAATCGGAGGTTGGATATCATCATCACTCTTTTTACTTTATCTACTGCTGTTCTAAAGAGTTCTGAAGAACTGCATTTAAACCAATCCCTTAAATTCGTCAACCATGACACTTTCCTTCTTCCTATACTCTAACTTGAACTTAGAAGATATAGATTTGCTCAGAATATTATATTATATGTTATTATATTATGTGGAGACAATATGTATATGGGCTGCAATATTAAGGATACCTGGGATCATAGCTCGAAAATGAAAACTCGTATTGACAAAGCTAGAAGTTATTTTAGCAGTCTTAGATAGATTCTCTGCAACTTATCTTTAAGTAGCAATACTCGCTTAAGAATTATTAAATGTTGTGTCCTCCACTACGGAGTAGTCTTAGAGGTATTTGAAATGTGGTGCACAAGATATTTGTTAAGGGTCTCATATACCACACAATCAAAGTAAGTATTCTCCAAAGGCTAAGAAAATTAGCTTACTTCTTCAATGTTATGCGTAAAAATACCTAACGCTTTCTGCAGTTGATTCTATAAGTCAAGATTGAGGGCAAGAGAGGCTCTGGATGCAGACTTTTATCCTGTCTGGCTGATCTTAGGAAATGGTCTTTTCTAACGTCAACTGTTCTATTTTGAGATGGTGTGAATAGAATAAGATGGACAAATGTTTAACATATTCTTTACATCCCATTTCCCAGCTGCAGTCAACAAAATTATTATAGCCAATTGCACGATAATCGAACAGGCCACAAAAGAAGAAGAACGTGAACTGAAAGAATTACCAACAAAAGTAAAAGATAAAGACCTATGGAAGATTATCGTATGTATATGTATTGGGATGTCCAATCTAAATTATTAACCGTAACAGCTTTTAGTTTCCGCAAAATCAAAGATTTATTGGCTTAAATTGCACTTTTAGTAGTTTACTTGCAAAAATATGGTATTAGTCCATAACTAGATTAAACTATGTTTGCGTGACAACGAAATTCAAAAAACATTGGAAATTCTGCTCTGAAAAGCATCGCTATTGCTGGTGTATATATAGTGTGCAGATAGATTATTTCGAAAAACATCAAAACAAGCTAAATTTTGTAATGCTAAATTTCTACCTACAATTCAAGCCACTAAAAAGCATTAATTAAGAACGTATTATTAAATCAAACAAGGGAAAAATATGTTACATTATTCGGTACAGTAGACTAGCGCGAAACTTTATTCTGTTTTTTCTATATTTTTAAAATTTAAATAATATTTTTAAAATTGAATAAAGTATTTCCATCATTTATTTATTCTTTATATTTTAAACAAATTATGTTAGATTCAAATAATTCAAAGAATAAGGTTTGCTCCTAACGCTACATGTTGATGTATTAACAAAGCATACGTTGTTTACTCATGAGACACTGTCAAATTCAAACGAAACATAAAATTATACTAAAATATAAATAAATATCATTTGATAATAAATTTAGAATAAATAACTATAAAAACTAAATAATGTATTTAAAAATAATAATTTTATTTATATGATATAAGTTTAAAACGAAAAGAGTGTTAAAAACTTAAATAAAATACTCAATACTGTTATTCATCGGATGACATTTACGACTTTTAAATTTTCACACTCGTTGCGAATCGAACCTTTTGACAAATATTTTTTTAATTTTGTGCTTTTCAATTAATGTCTGTTTTGTCAGTTATTTTTCCGTAGCACTAGTTCCGTGACGACGACATCTTGTAGCACTAATTCCGTAACGCTCGCCTTAGCATTTTACTGTAAAGAAAAAAGTTATATAACGCGAGTATCTTCTTCTTCTTCTTCATCTAGTCATTCACGTTCACATCTGTATATAAGTCTTCAAGTCTTCCTTTCCATTGTTTTTTATTGTACGCTACTTGTAGCCAATTTTTCCCGGCAGTCTTTTTCAGGTCATCTGTCCATCTCATAGGTGGTCTGCCTCTGGGTCTTTTGTGTTGGGATGGTCTCCAGTTAAAAATTGATCTGTGCCATTTGTTTAGATCGCTCCTAGCTACATGTCCAGCGTATTCCCATTTCAACTTTAATGATTTTTGCACCACATCGGTGACTTTGGTTTTCTGTCTTATCCATGTGTTTGTTTTCTTGTCCTAAAGTGATATACCTAGCATTGCTCTTTCCATCGCGTGTTGAGTGACTCTAAGTATATTCATATTCTTTTTTGTGATTGTCCTGTACCGCATAAGTTAATATCGGAATAATGCATGCATCAAAAACTTTAGATCCAAGATGTAATTGAATTTGTTGATTTCTGAGTATATAGTTCAGTTTACCGAATGCTGCCCAAGCTAACTTTCTTCTTCTTTTTATTTCATCAGTTTGAATTTCCCTATTTAGTATTATTTTTTGTCCTAAGTATATATATTCTTAAACTTTTTCTATAACTTTATCGTTTATTATTGTCACGGTGTCTTCGGAGTGCATGACTTTTGTTTTGTTTAAATTAATTTTCAGTCCTATTTTAGAAGATTCGGTATGTAGTTCTAAAAGCATGGTTTGTATTTCTTGTAGGTCAGTAGCTATCAGGATTATGTCATCTGCAAGTCGTAGATTACTGAGGTAGCGGCCATTGGTGTTTATTCCCTTATATTTCCAATTTAGGTTTTTAAAAACGTCCTCCAAAACTAAGGTGAACAGTTTGGGTGATAAAGTATCTCCCTGTTTGACTCCCCTGTTGAATGGTACAGGGTTCGTGTGTTCATTTTCATTTAGGTAGTATGTAGCTGTAGCTTGGTTCATAGTTTCTTTTATTAAGTTAATATGTCTGCTGTCTATTCTACAATTTTGCATTGCGTTTATTACGGCCGTGTGTTCTATGGTATCGAAAGCTTTTTCGTAGTCTGCAAATGCTAGGAAAACTGGAAACTTGTATTCACTACATTTTTCTATTAATATTTTTGTGGTTAACAGGTGATCGGAAGTTGAATAGCCTTTTCTAAATCCTGTCTGTTCATATGGTTGATATTCGTCTAATTTCCTTGTTAGTCGAGTAGTTATGACTTTGGTGAGTATTTTAAACAGGTGTGACAGTAGGCTGATGGGTCTGTAGTTTTCCAATTTTCGACTATCACCTTTCTTGTGTAATAAGATTACTTTAGAGTTGTTGCAGCTCTTAGGGACTTTGCCCTGTAGTAAACAACTGTCCACAAGCTTAGTTACAATTGCAATTAGTTCCTTACCTTCTTCTAATATCATATCTCTGTGGTAATACTATCTTCTCATGCAGCTTTATTTCTCTTCATGTTTTCCAATGCTGTATTTACCTCTGAACTTGTTACTTTTGGCATTATTTCTGATCCAACATTTTTTATTAATTTCTGTGCTGGTCTCATCAACGCCAGCATAGAAGCACATAATTTAGGTTGAAAAAATTGCTTAATTGGTACTAATTATTACTGCTTGTCAAATATTTTATATTGTATCGGTTGTCAAAAAATTGTGAAAGCAGAAAACTTGGGATAAGCTGCTCTACTTTAAAGCGAATTTTTTAAACTGGTGTTGTATTACTTTTTCTCTATAGTAAAATTCTGAGGTGAGCGTCAAGGAAGTAGCGCCACGATATGGCATCACGTAAATAACGTCATGAAATAGCGATCTTTACATCGATACACTACTCTTCATCAATTCATTTTTAGGCATCAATATTTATTCTAAGCAGGTTTAAATTAAACACTGTGTAA